TTAGTTTGTTTGGGAGTCATCTCGGATAGAAATACATCAGTATTCCAAAAGAACCACTAAGCCAAGAAGATACTGGGTTTTATTTGTTTTTAATAATATTTTTATTATTCCAAGATTTTCATAGTATATTTTGATATATCTCCCTCAGCTTTTCCCATATTCACCCTTACTTGCAATCCACCAGATTTTGAGTTTTAATTTTTTATTGTTTTTAATTTGTTTGTGTCTTCTTCCAATCAAGTTCACTTGTATTGTCTACTTAATCTTGGAAGTGGGACTTCTCCTGCAGTGTGGTAGATCCAGCCAAAGTTATGTCATTGAAGAAAGCTGACTCTGCCCCTCAGGAGCTGGGAGCGTTTGCTAGCTCCGGAAGAGGGAGAGTCAGTGATTGTTACAGTGTCCGCAGGTCCTCCACAAAGAAGCTCAAGCCAGGCAAAATTCCAACATATGGGTAGGGCGGTGTGGGGTAACATTCACTGAGTTCGTATGTTAGCAACCCTGTCATGTCTGGAGAACAAGGTTGAGAGGAAGTCATCCAACACCTCTGGCTCTTAACATTTCCTGCCTTCTCTTCCCTGAGGATCCTACACCATGAAGGGCAGAGGGGTGATAAAGCCGAGCACTCTGGAGCCATTTTCTCCACACGTTGAGTGGTTGCTGTCCTCGGCGTTTTGTCCCCATCTGTTCCAAGTAGAGGCTGTTGTGGAGTTAGGTTAGAGGCGTTCTGACCTCGGATCTGCAGTGAGTCAGTGGACTCCTTTTAGCTCTGTCTGTTAGGTAGACTGGCAGGTATATGAATGTGCTCTCATTCAAGAAACTGGGACTGAGAGCAACTTTGGATCTTATTTTCTCTACTCTCTAGTTGGCTAGTGTTGTTTCTGTCCATCTAAAATGGAGATGTATGAGTTTTATTGGGAATCTACATTGACAGCTATGGAAATAAAAGCTTACGAAACTGCTTTCTGCCCCTGAAGGCCCTTCAAAGGCCAGAGAGACTATAGGATGGTGTTTCGTTCTATGGTGTAGAGAGGACATGATGCTTCCTTCGCATTGGCCTTCTTCTTGTGTCCAGACCATTTCTTACTCAAGGCATGCTAGCCAGAGTGAGCATGCTTTTAAATGCAAATTCTTGTTTTCCACTCTCTTTTTACTTGTGTGCTTTTAACTGCCAATAGTGTGATGTGGAATAGATGGAGGTGTCATATTTCTATTAGGTTTGGTCTTCTGAATGATCTAGTAGCATCTGTGAATAGATCACGAATTACCAAAACCATAAAAAAAAAAATCAGCGAAAGTCTTAATTCAGTATCTATGTTGGAAAATTTTATCTTACCTTTAGCTATTTTTTTAAAGAAATACACTTCTATACTGTTTCGTTTTTTCTTTGTTACCTTACAGACTTGATGACAGCTTTGTTTATTTTCTCTCTCCATAGCATACGTATATATTAGTATTTAAAGAAACATGAATCCACGTGAGGCCTCTGTAACCCCAGCCCTTGAAAATGGAGGCAGGAAAATAAGGGGTTTATAGTCATCCTCAGCCACCTACTAAGTTTGAGTCTAGCCTGAGCTGTAGGAGAGCTTCTCAAAGAAAGAGAGAAACTAATGAAGGCCTGGAAAGGAAGGAATACAAATTTGTGTGCGTGTGTGTGTGTGTGTATGTGAATGTGTCTGTGTGAATGTGTGAATGGGACAGCAAGATGGCTCCTCAGTTAAAAATGTCACTTGCAGCCAAGCATGTTGTCCTAAATTCAGTCCCTGGTACTCACATGGTAGAAGGTGAGAACTGACATCTGCAAGCTGTCCTCTATACTTGCACACATGTGCGCTCTCTCTCTCTCTGACATACACACTTACTTTAATGACGTATGAATGAGAAATGATAGGCTTTACCAGATTTGCTAACTTTCAATGACAGTCCTTCATTATATGACTCCTACTTTCTGCAGTGTTTATAAAACAGGTTTTAAAAAACCCATCCCTACTTAGGAAGTGTGCTTAACGAATACCTAAAGGAGTAACATTTTTAAATAACAGTAAGAATAGTGTTAACTAGTGGGATAGAAGGAACCCAGCGTAGATTTGTCTCATGATTTGAGAATTCTTGTTGAGGAGACTCATGATTAAATGTAGCAACACATTTGGTCACAAAATAGCACAGGAATTTAGAGTGTGGGAAAGTACAGCAAGGCCATGATTTTTAATTTTTAGCACCTAAATTTTCTTTCGTCCTCATCAAAAATTGTATTGTTTCTGGCATTCAGGCACACAGATTTCCAGCACTTGACAGGCAGAAGTAGGCAAATCTCTGTGAGTTTGAGGTCAGCTTGACCTATATAGTGACTGCCAGGCCAGCCAGGACCACATAATGACACCCTGTCTCAAAAAAGAAAAAAAAATATTATTTTAATTGGTAGATCTTTATTGTTGTCAGTCTGAAAATGAATTTTTAATTGTATAACTGTCATCCAAAATATATAAAATAGTTATCTTAAACTTAAAATAAAAGCCACAAATATGTAAGGGACCATTTGACCTCTCTAATCCTTAAGGAACTGGCAGAAAGTGGTAAGATTTGAACGCAGCGATGGAGTTCTCACAGACAGTGCTGGTCATTACTCAGTCCTCTAGAAGCCAGTCCTCATTTGCTTTCTTAAACCTCCTGTTTGCCTTGTACTCTCATTAACCTCAGGTGTAGCTAAGTGTCTAAGGCTGGGCGGTGCCAGCATCTTTATCTGTAAGTGGAGTCGTCAGCCAGAGCACGTGAATTGTTGCTTAGCAGAAGCCAAGATGCTAACAACTGTGCACGAGGATGTGCCTAGTTTCTTTCGCTTTTTCTATTCTCAAGTCTTGCCCAGCTTTCAGCGACCACTGCACAGCTTTAGTGGTAACCAACTCATTTTAGTTAACTAAAGCAAGAGCCTTTCAGAGCCAGCTTTTGAAGTCTTGTCCCTCTATGGGTGAGTTAGCTTAACTGCATTTTGTAGCTTCAGCCTCTGATGTGACCTGTGAGGTGACTCACAGGAAGTGTTAGCGCTCAGAGGAATCAACCAGTGTGTGCTGTCTCTACACTCGATGTGCTGTGGGAAGTTTCTGTAGTTACATTGTGGTCTGCAAATCTGTAATTGTCGTGTCGACCTGAGGAAACTTGTGAGGTTTTTGTGTGTGTTTACCCTAATAGCTTTTACCTGTAATACATGGTTTTCAAATTCAGCTCCAAGTAGGAGGAGTGGCAGAGACAGGTTTAGAAGATTAAGAATATCACATAGGAATTCGAATGTGGGAAAGTAAAGGTTTTGTCATGAATAGCAGCTACAGAACAAACCACAGACACGTGAAAGAGAAGCAGGAAAGCCTGGGAACGGGAGCAGTCCTTTCAGAAGACAGAAGGGAGGGCGTGCAGTAGGATGGGGCACACATCCCAGTGTCTTAGGCTAGCTGAAGCTGTCAGCTCCAGGTTCAGGGAGTCACCCTGTCTCACAAAACAAGATGGAGAGAGAAAAGGACAGATTAGGCTCTGGCTTCTACATGTTCACACACACGGGAGCACACCCGCCTTCACCACATACACAGGGTGGGGAGGGGGAGCATGTGAGCGGACGGGGTGCTGTGAGCAGTTCTGTCACCCCAGGAAATTTTACATGACACCCAATATATGGGTATATAAAATAGGTTTAAAAATCAATTTAACAACAACAGATCATAAAGAAATTTATTTTAAAATAATCTTTTGGCAATGTATCAAAAACAAAAGCAATCTGCATGTTAATGAGATAGATGTGCTTGTTTTTGCATAAGAAATTAAATCTTGCTGAATATTTATTAATATAGGACATAGAATATCAGCACTTTTCGGTTAATGATTTTATAGTTGTCAATTCTGAAACACTACATAAATATTAATACAAAATGACAAAAGTGTGTTTAGGGACATTTCAAAAGTTATTGGAACTTCTGCCCTAATCCTTAGCAAAACTTTACTGAGGGTGTGAGCGTGTGTGCAAGTATGTGCAAAGTTTGACAGCTGTTCATACAGCAGTTTTTAAGATAAAGATGTCTAATAGTACAATCCAGAGATACACTAATTTAATATGCCTATGCTGAGAGAAGATGGTCGAGGCCTATTATAACTATGATTTCCATGATGAAGCCATTGTGTGCACAGCTGAAACACTGCAGATCCTCACACAGACAGTCGGAGCAGAGGTGCTGCGGGCCTTTGCTGTGGTAGCAAGGTGCACTGAGACCGGTAGGAAGTACAGATGCTGTATGCTCGGACCTGGCAGAAGAGAAATGTCACAATGTAGCAGGCAATACCTCCAGTGCACGTGGGGCTGGAAATTGTTTGTATTCTGTTTTGTTTTTCGTATTGTGCATCCGTTTTACTGTGGCCAAGTTAATGTATCAGATCTAAGAGCTTTTAAATTAGACATGCTTTTGAGAGCACTCCTATTTTTTTAGATTTCTCTCTTTTTCATAGATGAATTTTACTTTTTTTATTTTATTTTTTTTTTTTTGCCTTTTCTTTCCTTTCTTCTGTGATACAGGTGGGTGTGCTTGTCTCATGAACCTAGAGAAGTTCTAGGACCATGGCTGTTAGTGTGCTGCTTTTGAACTTGGCTGATTTGAGAGGATGGCCGCTAACCACTTCCTTTGGCAACTGGAAGATGGTTTTGATTAAATGCCACCTGTGTTAGGAAAGCAGGGTATCGCTTCCACCCTTTAACACGCGCTTTTAAATTAAGCTCAGCCTGTGTTGAATAGTCAAGAGCGCAAACTTATTTTCTACCAGGTGGACGTACTGGTGAAACTCACTTGTGTGTATTTTGACTGGTTTCTATATGAATTTCTTCTACTTCCAGTGTGGATTAGGAAGAGATACCTTGTTTGCCATCCTCTCCTCTATTTAAGCCTCTCCCTTTCCCTCCTGTCTTCTGTTTATGCGGCACTCCCTGCTCAGCTGTCAGTGAGTCACTGTCTTCCTGTCTCCACACTCAGGTAGTGTCAGTGGCCGAGTACCACCGCAGGATCGATGCGCTAAACACTGAGGAGCTGCGCACACTCTGCAGACGTCTCCAGGTGCCCCTTCTGCGGTCTAAACTTCCTCAGAGTGACCACGCCCTGCTCTTAGTGTCCTTCCTCAAGACAAGTCTCACATTAGATGAGTTTGTCTTGAATGAAGCACTAATGTCACCAGGAAAAAAATTCCTTTTCATCTTAAAGGATGGTTTTACCTTGGAGAGCTACTCTATTTATTTATTTATTTATTTATCTATCTATTTATTTATTTATTATGTCTCTTTGCTGTCTTCTTTTCACTAGAAAAGCTCTCACAGCAATCTTCAGCCACTTGAGAACTATTCTCATCACTATGTAGTTCTTTGAGCTATGAGTTTTCATTTAATTTTGACATTGGGAGAACCTTTGGTTTGTGAATGAACCTTTATTGACCAGAATCTGAAATAGGAAAATTATAAAAATCTTAATGGAAAGTCAGGCTTAGGTATTCCATCTTCAAGGCTATTTCAGCTGTAGAAACTGAATAAAATCTTAATGAGACGAATTGGTTTTGTTCTTGAGGCATTCCTGAGTTGGTATTGGAAATGCTTTGGGGTAGAATAGGAAAGCCTATTCTGAGCTAGATACATTAGCTAAATTTTCTGAAATAATCTTTGCATTGTTGAAAAACAAAGTAATAAAATTGAAAACTCATTTTTCGGTTTGCATTTCCTTTTTATGAAAGTATGCTCTGCTTTTGTTGCTGTCCTGGTTGACTGAATAGTTCTCTTTAATTTTCCCAATGCTGCCTTGGATTTCTCTTTTGTTCCGTTTTAACTTTCACATCATTGAAACAAAGGTAAAATGTGATGATGTGAAAGTCTTCATATCTGGCTTCTCGTCAGAAACAATACAGTTGTAGAACATGTATTGGCTGACAATCCGTCCCGGCCGGACTCGGCAAGAGATCTGCTGGGGGGCCAGGATTCCGCTCCCGAGTGCTGTCGGTCTCTGCCCTCGGCTGCATTTTAGCCATCTGCTCCAGGAGGGTTCCGTGGGTTTAAATGTTTCATCAACAATAGCTGTGGTCTTTATTTGTTAGGAATACTGTGTTTGGATCCTCAAATTAATACAAAATGTAAGACCTAGCAATAGATTATAAAGTAAGTTTTTAATTACCATTTTTGTCATTTTATGAATACCAGTGAGCTTATTCTATCAAATAAATGGCAATCAATTAGTCTAACCTTTATTCATGAGCAAATTCATTTTAATATGGATTGTTTGATTCCACGAGATGGAAAGTAATTGTTTTAATAAGTCAATAATAAAAGGCAGTTTTACAGAATGGTAGCATCAATGAAGCAAAAAATCCAGCCCCATGAAAAGAGTTATCATTTCTAGTCTACCATTTTTACATTTTTAATGCAAAAAATCCTGTTAATAAATTTGACAACTTTTGTATTTGTGTGGACAAAAGATGTGAGCACACACTTTAGAGAGTGCTTAGTTAAGAAGCTCCCTGGCTCCCTTCCATCCCTCAAGGCCAAGCCGTGCATGTAAAGCTCCCTGTCCCCCAGAAACAGGAGCCATAGCACTTCTCGACAGCCTCTCCTCGTGTGGTGGATGAAGCATACTTGTTCTAAACTCTCGTACTTTGGGTACACTGTTTGTCCTTTGCCCTTGAAATCTTTAGCCACCTGTGATTAATAAGGTTTCCTTTAATCAAAAGGCTGGAATTTGCAGAGTATCACAATTGTGTATTAACACACTGCTGCTGTTTGCTATTTTAGATTACTACAAAGGAAGACATAAACTCAAAGCAGTCTACCCCAGCGAAAGCAGACCTGGAGTCTGAATCTTTCCGACCAAACCTAAGTGACCCCAGTGAACTCTTACTGCCCGATCAGATTGAAAAGGTATGCCATGTCACCTGCTGCGTCTGAGTGTGTGCGGTGAGAGGGAGCGGCCGCCAGTCACTCTCCAGCTGCAGGGCCACTGCTGCTGTTCTGCTTCATGAAGAGTAAGTGGGCAAAGGACAGCAACCCTGCAGCGGACATAGAGTGTGGGTGAGACGTGGGAGTAACTGATGTCTGCAACCCCTGCAGCTGCAGCGGACATAGAGTGTGGGTGGGACGTGGGAGTGGCTGATGCCTGCAATCCTGCAGTGGATGCTAAAGTAAAGTTAGGCAAGAAACTGGAGTGGCCAGTATTTGCTTCTTGTTCTGCTTTTTAGGGCAGGGTCTTAGGGTGGAGGCTGAGCTGTACTTGAAACTCCTGGCTCCTGGCTTTAGCCCTAGTGCTAGGATGCTAATGCTCACCACACCTGGTGATCTTTGATTTGACCTGCGCCTAGTTACATGGTCTGTGTGTTTTCTTATGCGTTTGTTATCCAAGTTCTAGAAATTAGAAGTTATTATTGGGCATATTTTTGTAGGTAAAGAAAATTTTCATGTAGAGACATTAATTTGTTCAGTGCCCTGCAACTGTAAAAGATTTTCAAGCTTTGATAATCTGACGCCATATTCCACTTGAATAATCAAGCTAAAAGTTGACTCAGTATTTCCGTTAATTCAGTACAGCACCAGTGATAAGTAAGCCATCCTTCTTATCTCTGTTGACATTTTGGTTTGGCATGACTCATTTTCTAGTAGACAATGATATTTCTTGATAAGAAGTATGTGATTTTTATTGAAACATCACAGAATCAGTAAGAAGACAGTATCTGATGTTTTTTTCTTAGTCTGCATTTTATATGTGTGATTAAGTTCCATCTGTTGCTACTTGTAGTCAAGTAAACACTAACCTTTGTTTCTCTAAGCTTACGAAGCATCTTCCACCAAGAACCATTGGCTATCCATGGACACTTGTGTATGGTACTGGGAAGCATGGCACAAGTTTGAAGACCCTTTATAGAACAATGGCAGGCTTAGACACTCCGGTGCTGATGGTGATTAAAGACAGTGATGGACAGGTATGGACAGCTAATTGTGTAGATCCTTTGTCCTTCAGCAATAACTTGTAGTATACTCACTGGATAAAGTGTGTTTTAGTGCATAATTTCTAAGTATTGTTTTATTGTACAAGGCAATACTGAATATTCTAGAAGCTAAATGTAAACCTAATAAGTAAGAGCTTCTGTGTTGAGAGAAAACAATAATATGGTAGAGACCATTTGATCATACCAATATCCTTAAATGTGAGCACAGAATGCTAGGTATGCCAGGAGCATAGAAAAGAGGTTGCTGTCTGGAGATAAGAGTGAGGCCTACAGAAAGAAGAAAGGTCGGCAGACTCTTCAGAATGAGTAAACAATTTAAAAGTACCTTTTTAATGTGTTGTTTCTGTCCAGCCACTGCTATCTGCATGGCACATACTCCTTTCTCTTTCCAAAAAGTCCCCTTCTGCTTTCACATCTTGTGGGAGACGTGGGTTGTATGTCACATTGTGCTTGATTAGGGCTGTTTGCATCAGCATAAGCTGGGGGTTATATCTGGAGCATGGGCCACCTATCAATGGCTACACCAATGAAAAAAATGACTCCTTCCCCATCAGTAGTTAATAGGTGATTTTTAGGAGTTAAAGGTCATTGCACAATAATAGAAGCAAAATCACAGCTAGAAAAGAAAAGCATTTGACAGTAAAGAGAGAATGGAAAAGAAGTATCAGTTAAAGATAATGAATATGCTGCTAGTACCTTACCTGTGTTTGGTATGTATCAGATATTTAACTAATTGTCCAGCGATTGCTTATTCTTCAGAAGCCTGCAGATTAATAGTCATCCCTATTTTATACTTGAGTTAACTTTCCTCAGCTGATAAAGCCAAGAAGACATATAAGAATCAATGAAAATGAGCCAGCTATTACTCATAGCATATGGATGTGTTGAAAACATAATACTGGTTTAAAATCACACATTAAACCAGGCGGTGGTGGCACACTCCTTTAATCCCAGCACTTGGGAGGTAGAGGCAGTGACCTCTGGATTTCAGTGAGTTTGAGGCCAGCCTGGTCTACAAAGTGAGTTCCAGGATAGCCAGGAGAAACCCTGTCTTGAGAAACACACACACTCACACACGCGCGCACACACACACACACACACACACACACACACAGAGGGAGGGAGAGAGGGAGGGAGGGAGGGAGGGAGGGAGGGAGAGAGAGAGAGAGAGAGAGAGAGAGAGAGAGAGAGAGAGAGAGAGAGAGAGAGACCTTCTGATTCCATTCATAGAAAACTCAGGGGGTAAACAGGATGAAGCTATGATGCTGTCAGGTAGCAGCTTCCCCCAAAAGTGAGGCTGATGAGAAGAGGCACACAGAGAGCCTTACATGTCCTGGTGAAGCTCCCTAGTTCAGTCTGAGTCTGTTATATGGGACTTTATGATCATTTCAATTGAACTACACTTTATATTCTATGCATATTCCTTTAAATAAAATAACCTCTTGTATGTGAGCTTTTAACATGAATGTTAGGAGTGCTACATTGTCCTTTCCTTATATGAAAAAATTCGGGCTCAGAGCACTGAAATGTTCAAGTTTCATCTTCATTTGATTTTTGTCAGGGTATGAAATGCAGACTTTCAATGTCAAGCCTTTTAGACCAAAGTGTACCCTTAAGGTGTTTTCTGTGGAATGACGCAGGAAGGGGAAACAAACGGTATTGTGTACCAAAGGACTTCTACTTTTTTAACACTGTGATCCAGTAGAGGCGTGTATTTACTCTACACAGACTGCATTTTGTCCTCAGTGCAACCACTTACCCTTTCTAGACGTCTAAGCCAGGACTTGTTGGGGAGCTGCTGTGCCTCGTCCTCGACAGGAATGTGACGTGCACAGGAACTTGTCGTTTCCCCTAACGAGAAGTTGTGGAAGCTACTAGTGACTTAGGTCGTACATTGCGGAGTAAGGGATGTGATCGGCTTATGCAGATGCAGTAAGTCAGAAGTTCACACACTGAGTGTGCCCCTTTATTCTTAGGTCTTTGGTGCACTAGCATCCGAGCCATTTAAAGTAAGTGATGGCTTCTATGGCACTGGAGAAACCTTTGTTTTTACCTTCTGTCCAGAATTTGAGGTAAGAAAAGTTATTTCAACATTACAAATATATAAAAAGGAGATATTATGAAGACTCATGCAGGCTAATTGGTAGATCATATCAGCTGATAAATTCTTAATTGTTACAGATTTCATCTGCATTTGTGCTTATGCTCAAAGTTTGGTTACATATAGCATCTGATAGATGTGATAATTTATACATCACATGCAGCCGAAATGTCAAAGCATTCATGAGACTTGGGACAACAGTCTTCAGTAACTTGCCAAAATGACGAATGCAAAGGCAAAGAGGAGGCTTTGGTAGCTTTTAGGAAACATGGAGGCCTTCCTTTATCATGTATATGCAAATCTGCAAGCAGAATATTGTAAGCTTCAGGCGAATGGGTACTGTTTGTAAGGCCCGCGAATGTTACCATCATAAAACTGGAAGACGACAGTGTCACCCAGCAAGCCATGGCACTGTGGAAAGCAAAGCTTGAGATAAGATTCTTGAGGAGAGAATGGATGCGAGTGAGCACGTTAAGTCTGAGCTAAGACAGCTTCCTGAGAAGGTAGAAGGGAATGAGTTTTCAAAGAAAAGAAGACAAAGACAAAGGAAACTGGGTTCAACTTCAGCACCAGATTGCTCTACCAAGAGAAGTACACTATGAGAAACAACAGGAAGGAGCCTGAGCTAGAGTGTCCATTCCCTGTGACTTAATACACAAAAAATAATAAAATAAAAACCTAGGTTGAAAGAGACATGTGTGCGCACTTGGACACGTTCCTTTATAATAGTATTGAGAAACATGATAAAGATGAGGCACTGGGGCTATACTAATTAGTTTAGGTAAAATTCCTATAAAATAGAATTAAATATATATGAATATAATGTTGGGGTTTGGGAAACAGCTCAATGGCTAAGGTTCAATCATGCGGATCTGAGTTTGCACCCCCAGCATTCTTAAAAGCTGGGCTTGCCTGTACGTACTTATAACCTCGACAGCAGAGGGTTAAAACAGTTGGCCTCTCCTGACATCATGGTGGCCAACCAGTCCTGGTAAATTGCTAAGTTTCTGATTTACTGAGAGACCCTGCCTCAGAGCCATAAGGCTGAGAGCCATAGAGGAAGAACCCTGATACACGGCTCTACCCTCAACATGCATGTACCCCTGCTGTCTAGTTTTCTTTTCAGATTTCTCAAGTGGTTTAATTTGGAAAACCATAAATATCATTAATCTAAAAACAATGAACAGGAAATTTGTGCCCCCAGAAAGATCTTCGCCCTATAGAGATTTTCAAACTTGTGTTCACTGTTAGAAGAAAAGCTAGTGTCAGAAGAGAGAGGTGTGGATGAAGGGCTCTGGTGTGAATAGCAGTGGAGAGTTAGGTGCAGTCAGCCGCCCACGGACCTTCAAATGAATCAGAAACACTGAAACCCGGAGGACAAGAGCCTTTCCTGCTGAACCTTGATGCTGTTGTGTCTGTTGTGTAAACTCCCTTGAGTCTGGGAGAGCTGACTGGTGACTGTTTTCCACTATATATTCAACACCTTTGTTTTTGTCTATATAGGTTTTTAAGTGGACAGGAGATAATATGTTTTTTATCAAAGGAGACATGGATTCCTTAGCATTTGGTGGTGGAGGGTAAGTCTCATGAACATTTCACTAGGAGATTCTTAAAGAATATGTTTATATTATTTACAAAAGAAGTTATCTTTGGAAATTTTGACATTAGAATCTACACTTGAATATTATTGCAAATTATGTTTTTAAGGTACTTAGTATAATACTTTATATAGTTGGTAAAGTATTTTTTTCTTTATTTTCAAATGTTGGCTAGCTGATTTCCATTAGGACCTATCTTTTGCTTTACTGTGCATTGATTGGATCTTTGAAATTTGAAATTTAACTACTCTAAATCCCTAATGTCTCAAATATTCAAGTACACATGGCAGTCTGTTGTCTCTCATTGTACGGGGAAAAGCTGCAGTTTTCTTGCATTCTCTGATCATAATTTGGATCTGTGTTTCAGACAGTTGTAAAAGTTTATTTTCCTGTAATAAGGTTTAGCGGCACCATCTTCAGAGTTTTTGTTTTTCTTCATTAGTATCAGCCCATTTACTTTTGCTCTTTCAGCCTAAAACTGCTACAAAAACCTTCTTTTCTTCATATACTGATATCCTAATTTTGTTTAGTCTTATGGTGTTTAAAGGTAGCCTCCTCTGTTACCTTTGTAGTGTGTTCTCAGTAGTGCTCACACCGTCCTTACACACTCCTGCCTTCCATGTTGTTCCCAGTGATTGAAAAAGGATCCCAGCCTCATGTCTCTTGTCCATTTCGTCTTCTTCTGTTGCTTGCATCTGAAAAATCTACCAGCATTGTTTTCTGACAGTTAGCATGTTAGAGAAGTAGCCAACATTTTAGTTGCTTCTAAAATACTTCTAAGTGTCTAGAATAAATGAGGTGTTTTTGCTATACCTTTAACATTAACTCTCATTTTATAAATTTTAACACCTGCAAGAAGAACCAGATTAAAACTCTCCATGTAGGAGAAATGACTAGGGATGTAGTTCATTGGTACAGTGCTCACCTAAAATTCAGAACCTAACACTGCCCCAAGAAAATATAAAATTAAAATAAAATAGAATAATAAAATAGAAAAGAAATACTTATTATACCATTGCCAAAAGCTAATTGTATATGAAGTAAATTTTAGTGTGCTTAATTTATTCCTTAATGTGTATGATGAGTGATTTTATAATGGAACAAAGAAAAGAATTCTTGCTTGTGTGTCATTCGGAAAAGGAATAGGGGAGGTCTAGAGAAGGTCCCGGTCCCGGAGCTGGTGGACTTTGGAAAGCACATTGATCACTTTATAATCTAGGCTGTGAGTATTAATAGTTGTTGTTCTGATGTGTTTCAGCGGAGAATTTGCCCTTTGGCTTGATGGAGATCTCTACCATGGAAGAAGCCATTCCTGTAAAACGTTTGGGAATCATACGCTTTCTAAGAAGGAAGATTTCTTTATCCAAGACATTGAAATCTGGGCTTTTGAATAAATGCAGTGCTCTCGGTCTTAGCAGGACATCAGCCCAAACCTGAACTGACAAAGCATTGTTTGGAATGTTCAAGAAGCAATACAATTAACATGTCACTGTGCTTTCTAGTCAGTCATTTGCCATTTACTGCAGCTATAATTTTGGAGTTTATTTTTCGAATCATGTTTCTGTCCCAGAGCTCTTCTGTTCGCACCATGGCCTGGGTTCCCGCAGTATGACAGCTGGGTGGAGTTTGGTCAGCATATTGCAGCATTTTGATCATGGAGGCCACCACATTTTCAGTTCCTGTTCTCTCAGTCTCCCAGTTGAATGGTGCTCTGTTGTTCAGCTTTTTTTTTTTTTTAAATCTGTAGTGTTTCCTTTTATAGAGCAGTGCACTTGGGGCAGTGAGGAAATGGGGTCAAGGTACTTTGTATCTGGTGAGTTGACAGAAGTGACGTTGGGACCTGCTTGTCATTGGAGAAACCACATGCCGAAATAATATCTGCTCCATAGACCTTTCTAGTTCTAATTCACTGCAGCGTTCTCTTCACTCACGTGTAACCATTCTCAGTTTCGTGTGAGGACAATGACATTTGAAGAGAAGTCTGATTGGCATGGACTACAGCACACATGATATGCAGGTTTGGGCTCATGTTTTCATCACTGAGTTATCAGACAAAGAGTTACAAATTGACAGAGGAGAAATTGATGATTCTATTGGATTTAATATATTAAGCAAGTAATACTATTTACATACTTGTAGCTTAATAGGGCATTATCATAAGTACAAAAACTAAAGCCTGCACATCTCTTCAACATTGTGTCAGATACACTGTCTCACGGTTCTCTTGGGTTAGCCTTGTTGCACACCAGCTCCCCAGATACATTTTTGTTTTGTTTTCTTTTTTTTTATCCTCAAAGGAAAAAAAATGTTTTGAAATAAAACCTTGTTTTTTTAAAAGTGGTATATGTTATTAGTTCCCATTAGCACCTGCTCTTGTACAAGGGCAGTGACTGTAGTAGACAATACTGTAACTCAGTAGACGTGGTGAATGTGCAAGCTTACGTCAAGTGGCCTCAAAAAAACAGAAAAGATAGAATAAACTAGCAGCTGTATCTTCTCTTGTAGGAAACCAACAATAAGCCATCGTGGCAACATCTGTCAGTTCAATTCCAGAGCTTCGTGTTATGCAAAGAATAAATCCTGCTGTTAAACATGTGGCAGTGACTGTGCGCTGAAAACTCAGCTGTCCCACACCAACGTTGTATATCTTGTAAACTGATGTTTAAAGATAGTTTTGTTCTTATAGAAAGTGTTGACTGCCAGGTTGCTTATAGCACTTTAAATTATTCTGAAAATGAAATTACCTGGCCAAGTTTATTGGCTTAAGTAGTTTTAGTTATATAACTTAAAAAAATATACCTAGTTATTTTGGGAAAAGTCTAGATAATTATCTAAAGAAAGCATAATGCTAATCAAAATCTCCGGTGTTCTATGACATGCTGTTTCTGAAGATGAATAGAAACACAGGACATCGTTTCCTCGTCTGTGTATAGCTCTCGTTACATAATAGGTAATAGTATCTAGGGTAAATGTTTATAATGTAGGGAACTGTAAATAAATGTATCCTTTCCCCTTTGGTCATCCACAGCAGTATTAATGTCTTTGTGGAGGTGACTCATCATAACTCTTTAAGACATCCTGTAATGGATTTCAGCTACAACAAGGTCATAGAGATGTATACCAAATAAAATTCAATGCATAAATGCAAATGAGTTTGGATTTATTCAATAATCAAGTTATTTCCATATCTAAGAACTGGTCATAAGCATGTCACTGTCTCCTGACAAGTGCCCTGCTGGCACGCTGTGTTGATGTGGCAACAGGAAGTGACAGGTTCGAATTTAGTTAGAGGTAGCACTGCTTTTAGAATGGAGAGTCACTTATTAGCAGTAGTACAAGGGATTTGAAGTGTTGGGGGAGGGTAGAGAGTGCATAGCATAAATCTCAGTATCATGAAGAGCCCTGTGCACAGCACCAAACAGATTTTTACTTTTTAATCTCACCGAGCTTTTGAGAACATTACCATGGAAAGATGTGTGCTTTGGGGAAATCTTGGTGAAAAAATAGGTTAATAGAGGGAAAGGCTAAAGATGGTAGAAAAACAAGCAAGTCTGTTGTAAAATCTAGAGGGGAAACAATGAGGCCTCAATAAGAACAAAAGTGGTGGTAAAGCAAGAAGTATAGATTTGGAAGAAGTGCAATAACCGGGCTGGACAAGAGCTGGCTACCAGCTTGGTGTCAGCGTTCAAAGATAGCTATGGCTATCTACCTACCGACCAACCGACGGACGGACGGACGGATGGATGGATAGATAGATATTGCCCCAAAATATAGGTAAATTTCTTGAATATCCTTAAGGTTTAACTTAAGAACTCTCTTGTATTAATACCATCAAGTTGCCAGTGTATAAAGAGGAAAAATGCATATGTAAGTGTTGGCGTCCACAGAACCTAGCCCCTAGTAAAGTATGAGAAATTACAAATTTTAAAGAAACATTCGATGTTCTATTCCAAAATTTTAAGTTTCTAAACAACATGATTTTGCTGTGGATGAAGAGCCCTTGTAGACCTGATTTAAAATAGGGTTCCTGAAATAGGTTCTTTTTGGTTTGGTTTTTATTTGTTTTGTTCATCAAAGTAATATATTAACCAACACAAGAAAAGGCTATGAGCTCTCCTCTCTAGTTATTAAAAAACAAAACAAAAACAAAAACAAATTGGACCTAGAGCAGGCAACACAAAATAAATATATGCGCAAAAAAACCAATATAATTTTAAATGGATACAAAACAATTAAAATAATCAGTTTCGCTTATTAGAAAAATTAACACGAACAAAAGATTGCTATTAAGAGACATAAAAGTGGCGTTAACAGAGGTCAAGAGTTAAGAGGATACTGTGAATATCGTATTGGTAACTCGGCAGTATGTGGGAAATAGAGGAACACTTCAGAAAGCATCATTTGGGAGCCTGGTTAAGAAAAGTTTTTTTTTTTTGAAAACTAATGTGCAAGAGCTTCCTTTCCAGACCCAGGTAGGTAATTTCAGGTGTTTAAGTATTTATGCCAGGCTTAGATAAAGCCCTCCAGCATGTAAAGAAGGTTCCTTTCTGAGACCAAAGTGTTCAAACCTTACAAGCTTTGGTGGTGGAGGTTTAAAAGCTCCTAAAAGTCGAAACTAAAAGCTGGTATATTCTTGTACATTCTGGTAAGGGACCAGCTCCTCTCTCCATTGGTGTCTTCTCATTTCTGCGTAAAGTTGATTTTATTATTTCTTAATGCCCTTATTTCCAAAATACCTTGATGTATATATTTACACACATATAACCTAGCTTGCTGCATATGTGATGTGGGATTCCTCTCCATACGCTATGAATGTTTTATTGCCTTTGGTTAATAAAGAAGCTGCTTTTGGCTGGAAAAGATATATAGGGAGTAGGCAGGGTCAGAGAAGAAGCCATGTAGCCACCCAAGGAAGAAGATGTGTGTGGGAACCTATTGGAACTCTGCCGGTAGGCCACAACCTCATAGTGACGCACAGATTAATAGAAACGGGTTAATTTAAAATATAAGAGCCAGAAATACTCTTAAGGTATTGGCCAGACAGTATTGTAATTAATATAGATTCTGTCTGATTATTTTGGGTCTGTGCAACCAGGAAATGAACGAGCGACCTCTGACTACACATAAGTATTTCTCTATTGCTTAAATTTTTCCTCCAAGAGAAATTTGGGGAGTAGAAGTTATAAAAGTTTAGGTTGATGTAATCCTGGCAGGTTCCGGCGTGCGCGCATATCTGAGCAGGAGGTAATACATTGGTGATGATAGAAACTTCTCTGAAAACTTGAAGTAGTTCAGGTCGGCTTATAAATTAAAAGCCATTGATTGTGCACTAGGAAATGTCCTGGGTACCAAAAATAAAGTGGGGACATCTGGGTTGAGGGTCCACTTCAGCCCGGGCTCTGGGCCTTATCTTACGATGACTCAGTGAAATGACTGAGCAGAAAGGGGTGTAACAAAATCCTAGCTTTCAGAGAATTAGAACTTTACCATGAAGAAATGGCTCTGATAATTCTACATTCTTTCTGCTGATAATTGGGACAGCAGCTGGTGTTTCAAAGGGAATATAAAAAAAAAAAAACTGAGTGTGGCTATGATCTCATCTTGCTACACATATGGGAGGAGAAATTACCCCAGGCTCAGAGCTTCCCTTCCCAGGGAGTGAGCAGAGGGAGCAGGAGAACGAGCTTGTGAACCAGGCGTCAGCAACTTGCAGATACTCAGGTGGAGGCCATAAAGGGCCTGTCGGTACAGACACTAGGGAGGACTGGAAACCAAAAGGAAAACCTTGGGGATTGGGAGATCAAGTCCATGCTACTAGGAATTTAGAACTATATACGATATGATCTAATTATTTTATAGACTTTGTTATTATAATTGGTCTTCCCTTTATAATTATATTAGCTTGTTTGCTGAACTTTCTTAGCATATTTTCTTTTTGGTGAAAATGTTTTAAGTTTTCAAGTCTGAATTTCCCTGTCCTTTAGAGAGAATATTTTTGAATTTAATGTCAGGAAAAATTGTAGGACTAATGGTCTTAGAATTCAGTATTAAGCACAATAAAATAGAATAAGGTAAGAAAAAAGTCTACAGATAGTTAACCCAATAAGTTGCTAAAGTGCGGTGGTGAAGCCTTGCAGGCTGCCTGCTCGGATGCCCCTGACGCATAGCGTTTTCCCTCCAAGGATTCTAGTTTCTGACTCGTTAAGCGTTATTCAGAAGAATTAATGACTGTTTGCTTTCTTAGCAGAAGGGATAAGAGTTCTCGGTCCTGCAGAATCCCAGCACACCTAGAGTGATTCCTGTACCATGAGAAATGCTGAGAATCAGGAAAGCAACATCTTTGAAAGACAGAAGCCAAGCAGGGTATGGATGTGATCTCACTTTGCCACGCACTAGGGAAAGGGTTCCCAGGGTATCCTTGAGTTCATACAAGTAGACCTTTGAATCATGTCATCCTGTAACCTGCAGAGCTGATGACATGTGAGCTCCTGAAGCCTTGGATGAGATGCTGGTACTAGGAATATCACAGCTTCAACTCTGGTTTTGTTTTATTCCCAACAAAAAAAGAGATGGTTTGGAATCTAACCCAAATAATCATACAAAATAACAAATGATGTAGCAGCTCTTACTCCACTGTGTTCTCCTCAGCTCTGACATGGTTCCCACCGACAACACACGTGCGTGTCGTGCATGGGGAATTTCACTAGAAATACTAGTCATGACTAAGGACTCAGAAAGTATAGAAAAAAGGTCTGTGTTTCATTTTAAATATTGGAATTCTCTGAAGCAATCATTCTTGGCAATCTCTAGTTCAATCTGTAGCTTGTCTAACATGGAGCAGTTATGGATTCCTGTTATTTTGACATATAATTGGACCTTTTTGTATTTAACGCAAAGTATAACTTAATTTTAGCAGCTTTCTTTGATTTTTGTTTTGTGTTTGTGTGTGTTGAGTTGGAGAGAGAGAGAGACTTATGTTTTGTGGCCTTTTCTAGAGAGAGAGAGACTTTTGTTTTGTGGCCTTTTCTTTGTTGGTACAGAAAGGGGAAATGTATCAGTTTTAAATTCAGTGGTTCTGTAAGATTTTCTCCAATGAACATACACTTCATAGAATTTCTGTATCTCTTGTTTGCTGCGCATCTATTGCATCATGGAAGCAGGCATTACTCATCAACGCTTTAGGCAAAAATCAACCTTGTTGATGAAGCTGAGCCCCCCACCTCCACTCCCTGGTCATGTGCTGTCTTTGTTGGTTGTGAGGCCACAGATGGCATCTGTTTCTACACGACTTGCTCAAGTCGAAAGAGCAAGGCTGACTGAAGGAACTTCGGCATCTAAGTGAGGGCCTACTTTTGTTTATGCACCAAAGGTGATCCTGTAACTTTTGAAAGGACTGAGGAATATTCTGGTAAGTAAGAGTGTGCTTCCTGGGCAGGTCTCAGGCTCTGGGTCTGAGTCCTCACATGCTATAAAGTGGGAATAATCCCATAGAAGCCTCTAATCCCAGCACTAAAGAGTTAGAGGCCCACATATCAGGAGTTTGAAGTCACCCTTAGCGAAATAGAGTTTGAGAGTTTGAGGCTAGTTTAGCCCAATGATTATCTTTTTATTTTTATTTTTTAGAAAAAAAGCAATTAAATTTTATCCAATTTAAATGAATTTTGCCCCTAAAAATGACTGCTATTGTGATGTTGTTCTACGGTATCTAAAGGTCAGCTTTTTTAAACCTGTATTTTTAAATCTGTAATAATTTCATCAATGAAGGCCAAATATTTTTGTCTAAAAAGGTAAGTGAAATTTCAAATATCAATATACTGTGTTTGTATTAAAGTCTGTAGACTTCTAAAATGTTCTGAGTGTGTTTTATTGCAATCTTTATGTCGTAACCTCAGAAATAATACCAAAAGCCATTTGTAAAAAAATCATTTAATATTGATAACATTCCAGCACAGCTTGCCTTTGTCCTTACTATTACTACATTATTTCACTAAGTTGATTTCCCTGAGAACTTACTCAAGGAGAGTAATCAGAACATGGTCGTCTCTGCCTTGCCATAGCATCTCCCCTTCAAAGTGCACCAGTCCGTGTTTCCTGGCACGCATGAGGATGCCCACCACTTTATCTGAAATGCGGACATATCTATCAAAGAGTTCTCCGAAGGTCACCTGGACCTTGCCATCGCGTCTGTGGCGAGCCATGGTGCGGATAACAAAGCACAACTCCATGATTTCCCGATAGATGTGTTCCTCGGCGCGCTTGGCCCTCTCGGCTGTCTTGCTTCCCTCCTTGGGACGGCCGTAGCCCTCGTCTCCCTTGTGAAGCCGAGTGGACATGGCCAGGTCATAGTCAAACTCGTCACTGAAGGGATTGAGCTTCTGCGACTGTATGTGTTCATCGGCCCACTGCTGCCACCTCCCTTTCAGGCTGTCCACTTGGCTGTTTTTCCGGTGGGCCTTACAGTTGAGTGTCTCTGTGTATCTGTTCGCCCTGAAGGAGGAAAGGTGGAGAAACAAGGTTGACACACGAACAGCAAGAGTCAGTTCCCTTTGTGCCTCCCGTGTGCATGCATCTGAGTGTTAAGTCTTTCTAGTTCCTGCTATGACAAAAATGCATGTTACTACTTACAAAGAAAAAAGGGAAAATTTTTCCATCATTCTTACTTTATATCCTAGGCTGCTTTCTCTGTAACATCGATAGATTAAACACTAATGATAATAAACTCATGTTTAAAAAAAAACCCCAAAACCTCGCTCACCTATAGTATAAAAGTATGTTTCTAATACGTTTTATGTTATAAACATTTTTGAGCTGGAACCAGTTCTCAGGGCTTCTGAAACTAGTTATTTCCTAAACATTTATTTGGTACTACTATACAGACTGGAGTCTCTATAGGATTGTGTTGGGACCGTTTGGAGGCCTGGCCTCCAGCTGCTCTTCCCTGCTAGAGATCTTTACTTTCCTTCTGATTTGAGTTACTGAAATCTGTGTCAAAGTTGTTTACCAGCTCTGCTTCACGAGCACGTGTTGCCTTGGCCTTGAGGATCAGAGGATAAGGTTTTCACCTGCTGGCCCACTTGACTGTTGGGTATATTAAGCCTCCACGATGCTATTGAATAAAGGGCTTCTTACCAGTGACTAGAGGTCCGTGTCTCTGTCTCTGTGTTTGTGTGTTTCAACCTCCAGCCCCTTGCCCAAAGCTTGTGAACTATATGGTAGCATATAGAGCGCAGACAGGCATTGTGCACTGCAGAATTGAGTGCATTTTTCCCTTGAGAGCCGATTTACATGAGTGTTAGTAATGTACACATTTTTTAAGACATCATGTTGCACAAACAGAAAACAGTTGCCAACAGTATAAGAATACTGAATGATGGGTAATATTTCAGTCAGCTGTAGCGATGAGGGAACTGAAGCCAAGAAGATTACAGACTGCCCTAAAGACAAAACTGTTACATGAAAGACTAAAACTGGAATTTGAAGCCAAGTTAAGAAACCACAAGAGGTCAGAATGAAACTCTTAAGAAATACTGCTTGAGGCCAGGCGGTAGTGAAGTACACCTTTAATCCCAGCACTGGGGAGGTAGAAGCAGGAGGATCTCTGTGAGTTCAAGGCCAGTCTGGTCCACAGAGCAAGTTCCTTGACAAGCTGCAAAGCTACAGAGAAACCGTCTCAGGAAAAAGAAACTAAAGAAAACAAAACTGCTTTAGTGTATAGCAGAGGAAGAATTCTTCAAAACCGAAGCTAAAAATGAGTGTGATATGCCACCAGCATTTAGTGATAGCATGTAATAGATGGTTGATTTTCAAAGACTGTGTGTGCCTCCGTGGGTGGAGATGAGGATGTGTGTGTGTGTGTTCCCCTGAATTTTGGAATGCATTGTTTCATTAGAACTACAAACCCAGTTCTTGAAACAATGCATTTTGATAAAAGATGCAGACTCAGTTTTCAAATCGCTAAATTTTGTACTTGAAAAACTCCTCTGTTGCTTCTGTATCTCCAATTTAGTAGACTTTATCACTTTGTTTTTCTTTGTAAAAGAAAAAAAAATTACCCCATCTTCCTAAGGCAGCCACCTTTATTCTGCGGAGCACTAAGTGGCCTCACGTCTGGAAGCATAGGGACTGAAGATATGAGTTATCTATCAGAGGCATGACAAGACTCTGAGCACTCAGAATTCACTGCTCTCAACTCGACAGTGCACCAGGTTTATCTGTCAGTGTACAAACTTGCTAAATTCTGCTCAGATAGCAAATGGGCCAGTGAATCACAGTAACTGTTTCTAAGGTGTTCCAGTCCCCTCCCCCTGTGGTCCCAAGCTCTGTTATGTCAGTGTATCCCTGAGTTGATGGCACTCATCGCATCGTCCTGGTGCCGGAAGACAAATGTTTGCTCTCCTTCCATAAGGACACCAGATCTGTTTAAGTACAATAAAGTCATCAGAGAAAGAAACAGCCTCCACTAGATGGCGAAATTTCACTAACTCCCACGTTGACGTTTCAGAAAGTCCTGTGACTGGTCTCACTGTCTCTTAGGATTGGAAGGGGAGGCTCTGATGTAACACTTTCATAGCCATATGGAGAAGAACATGCAGCAAGGTTAACTGGGAAAAACAGCAAACAATACTATACAACACAAGCTTATTGCAGTCCCTTAAGCTTGAAACAGTTCTAAAAGTAACAACACATTGAAGTGGACAAGATTTTACTTAGCCCCACTGAAGAGAGCTGTCACCCCTACGTCATCAGCTGCCTGCTCGCCTTCCCAGTGTAGAATGCAAAATCTTGGAACAGTAAACGTATCCCTGAGAGCTCGGTGGTGAAGACAGGTGTAATCTTATGATTGTAGCTAGCTCAAAGAAAAAAAATCTGTGGCATATATGAAAATGAGGATCCATCCAGCTACAAAGCATGAGATATTTCTGAAGGTGTGATGCAGTTAAGTCTCATTTGCACAAACTTGGAAGCTAACTCCTGGCTGCTTAGCTACTCATTAGCACAAACTTGGAAGCTAACTCCTGGCTGCTTAGCTACTCCATCTGTCCTTAATGATACCACCTAAGCTTTTTGGGTAGCCGTTGGATAGTGGGAAACACACCCTAAAAGACATTTGCCAAGAGAATCCAGGTAACATCAAGTTGCATTTGCAACTAAAGTGTAGAGGCACCAGGCTGAAGAATTCAGTGATGTTATGCACAAATGAAAAATATTACATTAACATCCAGGTGACCAATTGAACTCATGACCTCCTTAAATAGTCTTACGTGGGTATCCTTATTTTGTAATTTTTATAAAGGGAAAAGGTATAGTAGAAAACTTTATGCTAGCATGAGGAGGCGATTTCTTTAAACTTCATGTTCTATGACTTTCTGGTTTTTAAGGTGTAATTTCTGTTTTCTTCTTTGATTCTAGAACTTAGGTGCCCTAAGTATTGGAACTTAATATTGTTTTGGAATAAGAGTTAATGTTGGTTTGGAAATAAATCTATGAAGAAGCCATTATCTTTTAAATGAATCATTTTCTAAATCTCATTTCATTGTCATATTGTGTTTCCACAAAATAAGAGAAAATGGAGCAAAACAAAAATTAGAAAATAAGTATAGCCATACGTGGTGGCACACTGCTTTAATCCCAGCACTCAGGAGGCAGAGGCAGGCAGATCTCTGTGAGTTCGAAGCCAGCCTGGTCTACAGAGTGAGTTCCAGGACAGGAGGGTTGTTACACAGATAAACCTGCCTTCAACAACTAAATAAATAAATAAGTCTATTTTAAAATTGTAAAACACTTGGAAGGCATGTGCCGCAGAGGATCTTTTCCATGCCAACAACATCTTGTATGGATGGCTTTGTCTCTTGAACTGTTAAAAGTATGAAAGGGCCAGGGTTAAATTGGAATTAGAAATTCTGATGTCCTAGGTATCGTTTAGGTCACTGAATACAATAATATCATGCTATTGTATGCATTAAAGATTCAGGTGAAAAGGGTTTAGATCAGTGGTTCTCAACCTGAGTGTTGTGGCCCCTTTGAGGGTTGAACAGCCATTTCACAGGGGTCACCTAAGACCATCAGAAAACACCTTTTGACTCATAACAGTAGCAAAATTACAGTTATGAAGTAGCAACAAAAAATCATTTTATGGTTGGGGGGGGTCACCACAATGGGAAGAACTGTATTAAAGGGTCGCAGCATTAGGAAGGCTGACAACCCTGCTTTAGGCTGATCTTTGCAAAGACAATACAGTCTAAATGGACAGCAAGGCAGTTACCATGCCGCCCGTAGTTTAGGAGACCAGCACTGAGCTCACTCAAATGTTCTCAGTCTGTGCAGTTTCTCATAGCCAACAATTATTTCCTCTCTGAGAATATGCAAAATGATTAATCATACCAGATGTGATAGGCAAAGTACCTTGGAAAGTTTAGCTTTATTAGCAGAAACATTCTTCCTAACCTGTCCACTCTAAAACCGGCTTGCTCTTGGTGCTGCTTCCCTACCTGAATGCAGCTCATTACTAGTGTGGCGTCAACATGGGAGCCAATTTTATCAAGGTTCTCTCCTCTGGGGAGTAACTATTTGAATAAGTTATTAAATGGCAATAAAATAAACAGAAAATAAAATGACCAGGAGTTTTATGTATAATCTATTTCAATGGAATGGTTCAGGAAAGTTCTCTAATAAATGTCCTTCACCCGAATCCCAGCTGCAGTATGACACGGGGCCTAAGAGTGAATTTCCTAGCCCACATTGGAAATATTTATGAATACATTTGGGATATTTATGAAGAGAGGTGGTTGTGCTGCCCCCACCGGACAGGCAGCGAGCGCCCTACTGTCTTAGAACCTTGGCACCCTGTCCAACAACACAGGGCAATGCTGGGGAGATTTGCTCCTCTGTGCATTGGCACTACCCAGGGACTATCAGTAGTTGATTAATGGATCATCAGGATCACACATGCCAGGATTATGTAAAAGACAGGGCCTTTGTTGCTGGTCAGCAGCTATGATCTCTGTTCTCCTAACAGGCTGGAGATCCAAGCCTCCGATTCTTCCTACAAATTGGTAACCAATTCAAAGTCCAAGGAAAGCATTTTTACTAGAATGGGGGAGGGAACAGGGAGTAAATTCATCAAGCTAGGTTGGAGAGATGGCTCTGTGGGTAACAGTTCTTGCTATGCAAAAATGAAGACCTGAGCTTGAATCACATAAAAATAAAAACACATATAGGCATGGCAATTCCGTAACCCCAGCACTGAGAAGCAGACAGGCAGATTCCTTGGTGCTCGCTGGCCAGCCAGATGAGCTACCAGCTCACTGAGACCGCGTCTTGTATAGAAAAGAGGAGGGCCACAGAGCAAGACACCTGGCATACTTCTCCCGCCTCCACACCCCCGTGTAGGGGTTTGTGTGCAAACGGGCTTGCACGTACACACACGCGCACATACATGCACACACACAAAAGCCATTGTTTTGTCTCTTTTAAAAGCCTTCAACATAGTTGTCCTTAAAACCCTGTACTTTGGAGGTCACTGAGATCAATTAAGCTGACGTCTGGCTTTATGCTAAGGGAATGAATGCATGGAGGCAAAGCTCAGATTCAGCCTTTTCTGCTGCCCCACTTACTGTTCCTGTGACTTTGGTGTGTCTTAGTTTCTGGGTGTCTTCTTTTCTGACCCTATACTATACACATCAGAAAAGGGGTCGACATACAAATTGAATTCAGAAAGCTGGAGGATAGTGCTGACTTTCTGGTCCCACTTGTTGGTGAGACAGTAAACAGCGCGGATCAGAAGGGACACATCCTAAATTAGCACTCTTCTTTCAGGCCAGAGGTGTGCCTGCCCTAAAGGACTCAGTCTAACTAGCAATCCTTCCCTCCGTATTTCTGCTGCTGGCTGGAACTCTTTAGTAATCGAGGCACAACGAGTAGGGGATACAATCACTTACTGGGAGGGCAAGGGGCGCTTGATCCTGGCAGCAGTCACTGGCACCGCGTCCTGTTCGGGTCTCTCCTCCGTGTCCCCTCCGTAGCCACTGTCCTCCGTGTCTACGCTGTCACTCTTCCACGTGGGCTCGTCCTGTTCCATCACTTTCCAGCCTTGGGTCAGCTCGGACACCAGATTAGTGCATTTTCTTCTCCGCGTTGGCGAGTCACGGCTGAGAAGTCTGTCAATGTCGTTCTCCGGCTGAACAGCTTCAGACGGACCCCCGTCGTTCTCATACTTGTGGCTCAGGTAGTTCACGTCTCCTCCTCTCTCATAAGCCTTGCTAACAACTGTTTTGGTCACCTCTTTCCTCTTGATGTGGGAGACCTCGGAGGCGTCCTCTGAGGGTGGTCCACGTCCATGTCCATCTGGCTTTGGAGATGGAGGTTCGGTGGCATGCTGGTGGGGACCGGGGCATGCCACTGGCTTAGGAGTGTGCGGTGGGTCATTGGTCGCTCCAGGCAGCCAGCCTGCAGGCTCCTGGGCCTGCCTGGTGCTGTTCTCATTTGCCCACTGCTGCCAACCGCGAGCCAAGTTGATAACCAGGGTTGCTGTGCGTACCTTCCGGAGGGCACTCTTGGCGGGCCCCGCCTCCCTTTCATTTTCTCCGGGAGCCATGCTACCTGTTTCTTCTCCGCAAGCAGTCTGGGCCCTGGCTAAGGAGGGAACGTGTGTGAGAGAGAGGCGCTTGGGATTTAAATAGAAGCAGGGCGTGAGTGGGAAGGGGAGCCCGTGAGGGTGGAAACTATTCAAAGCATTTCTTGCCACGATTCGGTGCCATCTCCATGACGGTGTTCTGTTTTTAAACCCTGACAGGCCCCGTTTCATCACAGCAGAGGGACATCTCTGGTGGCAGAGGACACCGGTATGTTTCTTCCTCTCTTCTCCAAGTGCCAGGATGGAAAGTACTAGATTGCGTCATGCGCTCAGCTTTCTGCTTTCCTTGACCTTAAAAGATGACCCTACCATTTATAGGAGCATACAGTGTGTGCACAAATTGTCCAAGAGCAGCTTAGGCTTCCTCTCAGGTGAACGTCTGTAGCCCTCAATAGAGCTGCTATATGGTCACATCTCATAGACGAGTGACAAGATCTCTACCTTCCTGCAGGTAATAACAGTGTTCTGAGAGATTGGCAGCTTGAGCCTCCTGTCCTTCTGTAACTGTCAGAGAGAACCCTGAGGAAATTGTCTGATCAGTTCTTCATTTCTAGATGGAAACATTGAAACTCAAAGGAAATATGATCCAGATGGTGAAAGGCTAATTGTTGTTTTCTATCCCCATACTGGGAGAAAACCTATTAAAATACGTAAGCATACAATGTATATTAAGTCAGTAAACTAGTCTACTGATACAAAAATTAAATTATATTTTACACATCTTAGTATGTATCTTTTTACATACGTACCTACATTTTACATACTTATATAAGATTTACATAACTTACATGTTTACATATCTTATTAAAAATTAGTATTTTTAATCTATAACTGTTTAATCATATAAAGACACAATAAATGGACACTCTGAGGCAATCTCTCTTATTTTAATATTTTGATACAAAGTATCATTTTGTAGCTCTAACTGGCCTGGACCTTGCTGTGTGTACAACAGGTTGCCCTCATTTCCTGCCTCTGTCCAGTGAGTGCTATGCTTAAAGGCATGTACCACTACACTGGTTGTTGTTTTTAATGACTGACTATTAGTTTGATTAATATTTTCAAATTATTTTCTTTATTTTTTTATTTTCTTTATTTTTGAGATAATAATATAATTACATCATTTTTCTTTTCTCCCTCCCAAACCTCCTATATATTCCTACTCTTTCAAATTTATGGTCTCTTTTCTCATTAATTGGTACATGCATGCTGTGTGTGTGTGTGTGTGTGTGTTTGCTACATGAACAAGTACAACCCGTTAGTCTATGTAATGTTACTTGTATGAGGCCTCAATCCTACACAAATAACAACAGGCAACTAAGGAATGCGAGAGCAGAAATATTCTTCCCCTGGGAAGATTGGTTATTCAATACTAAATGATGAGCCTTGAAAACACGAGTTTCTCCTTGTTTTTAATAATATGAACTTTGTTAGCAGGCAAAGACATTTGTTTGAACCTTCAGAACATCAAGTAAAGAAATGTTTCTAGAACTGCAAAGATCAGTCGTGTGGACAGAGACGCGGCCGTCTGCTCCATGCCTTTAGACCAGATAAAAAGGTGCAGGGCTCGGCACTGAATAAATTATTGAAGTAAGACAAATAGAAATTCTTTTTTATTTGCCACTGCTTTAGGCTTTTAAAGTCTATCCCTTCCCCCAATTTTGACGTGTAGTCAACAGATTGATTGCAAAATATTGCCTGTGAGCGCTATGAAAAGTATCAACGTTAATTTCTTTTGATAGACACAATCACTCAAAAAAAAAAAAAATGCGAGTTTTTCATAATGTCAGTTACTGGTGCCCTAGGAGTCAAACAATTTTGGAAGTGTTTGAAAAACCTCTCTGGAAATCTGACAGAAGTGTCCTCTGAGGTCAGCAGCGTGTGATAGCATCGACGCCACTGGCACAGAATCCCTCTTGGTTAATTAAGGAGGAAATGGGATCACAAGGGTGGAGGGCTGTTATAAACAAAGATGGACATCTGAGCTCACATTCCCGCCCTTCCTTCCTCCAATATCTATGCCTTACACACTGCTGGGTTCGGTGGGATTCCATTCCTCCCACTGGGCAGTCCTGGACAAAATGGGCTCCTCTGAGACATCCAGAAGCCTCACTCAGGGTCGGGTTAATTTCCAGCTTGCCGAGGATTGCTCAGGTTCCCCCCGATAAAGAGGAATGTAGAGGGGGATGCAAAGAGGGCTTCATACATTAGCAACCACCGCAAGCAGCTGCCTGAGGTTTGAGGCTGTCAGCAGATGGTCTTGGGGGCAGGAGTAGCTCCTAAAGAGATCCATTCATTCCTAGGAGATTTGGCTTTGATGGCAACTGCAGCCCTTCAGACATTTACAGAGGCTTTTAAAATTCTTTTCCTCTTCCTGTCTACTTTGGGCATTCCTGTCCTTAAGTAAGGTCTGCATGCTATCAATATTTTGAATATTGTAAAGTTTTAGATTCATGTTCTCAATCAAGGTCCAAGTTCTTAGTGATTATAAATACTCTAATTAATCACATGCTCAAAAGAGAACAAAAATAAAAAATAACAAAGATTTGAGTAAGTACTAATTTATAATGAAATCCTTATGAAATAAAACTGCTGGTGGAGATAGGGGCCTCAAATCATTATTGCTTACGAAATTTGCCATATTGTCTTAGGGTTTTTTATTGCTACGAGACACCATGACCACGGCATTTAATTGTTCAGAGGTTCAGTCCATGATCATCATGACAGGGAGCATGGTGGCTTGAAGGCAAATGTGATGTTGGAGCTGAGAGTGTACATTTTGAAGGCAACAGGAAGTAGACAGAGATTCTGGGTGGTTTATTGAACAAAGGAAACCACAAAGCCAGCCCCCACAGAGACACACTTCCTCCCACAAAGCCATAACCACTCCAAGAAAGCCATACCTCCTAATAGTACCTCTCTCTTTACAAGATTATGCCAGCCAGTTATATTCAATCTACCACAAGTGCATTTTTAAAAATGTATTGGTCACTAGGGCTGGAGCCATGACTCAGTGGCTTAGATCAATTGTTGCTCTTGCAGAGTATGTCCGGTTAGTTGTCAGCACACACATAACAGGTTACAGCTGTCTATAACTTCAGGTCCAAAACACCTAATGCCTTTCTCTGGCGTCCACAGGCACTAAGCATGCCTGTGATGAACTCACTTAAATGCAGGCAAAACACTTAAACACATGAAAACAATTAATATTGAGTTAGTCATTAAATGATCACATGAATGGTCATGGAAAAGGCAAAAGTGATATTTCTGCACAGCCCCCTTCTGAATCAGGTGCAGTGAATCCTCACAGCCAGCAGTGTAAGGTCACACCAAGGATGCTTTACAAATCCTTATCTGTCTAGCATATATAAAACAGTTTCTAAAAATTCTTATATTTGCTTGAGATTTATAGAAAATTATTACATATGTGCAGGCAAAACAATAATTAGTATAGTGAAGCAAAATAACATAAAATAGAAGGATCTTATTTTTTAAGGCTCACAAATATTTCGCTGTGTCTTTATGCCAATGTTTATGAGTTCATTTGTGGGGAGACAATAAAGTTGTTTCCATATCTTGGCTCTTATGAATAATACTATAAGCAGTATGACAGTGCAGCTTTACTTTCCAAAAGATTATTTATTTTTATTTTGTCAAATGCATATTTGTGTGAGGATGTTGGATCCCCAGGAACTGGAGTTACAGACAGTTGTAAGCCATGTGGGTTCTTCTTGGAATTGAACTGGGTGCTCTGGAAGAGCAGCCAGTGCTCTTAACAGTTGAGCCATCTCTCCAGCCCCCAGATAGCTTTTTTTTTTTTTTTAAAAAAAAAAGAATTTGTTTTGCTTATTTTTTGAGAATTACATAAAGTGTTTTTTATCATCTCATTCCCCTCCCCACATTCTTCCTTGATCTCCCACCCCCCTACTCACCTAATTCCAAGTTTTCTATCTTTAAAACAAACAAACAAACAAACAAAAACCTTAAGATCCAGTTTGTATTGGCTGACTATTCTGAGGTCTGGAACTTGCCTTGGAATGTGATCAGGATATCAAGTGTCGTCCAATTGAAGAATTGTTCCTTACTCAGCAACAGTCAAATGTCAGTAGCTCCTTGGCTAGAGGTGGGGTTTCATGTTCACCCCACTTTTCCTCCATGCTAAGAATTTGTGTGTCTTGAGCTTAAGCAGGTCTTATGGGCATGATCATAGTCTCTATGAATGAGTTCATGAATGCATCCACCCTGTTGTGTCTGGAAAACACAGTTCCCTTGAGAGCATCAAGCACCTTTGATTCTTACAATCCTTCATGCTCACCTTCTGCATAGATGCCTGAGCCCTGAGGGGAAGGCGTGGTAGAGAATCCATTTAGGATTGAGGATTTCCAAGTCTCTTAGTTTGAAGAATTCATATATCTTAATGAGATGGTGGTTTTATCTGCTTTGGGTGTACATCCAGGATTTTTGGGTTATATAGTAGTTGTATTTTTAATTTTCTTAGAAGCTTCCATGGTATTTTCCATAGTGGTGGTTTAGGTCCATGATCCTGCCAATAGCTGACAAGGTTCCTTTTCTCAATAACCTAACCAACATTTACCTCCTGGGTGTTTGGTTAGTTCTCTAACAGGTGCAGTATTATAACCACTAGTCGTTATAATTTTTATTTATCAGAGGGTTATTAATGTTTTCATATATGTATGATACATTCTTATGACATCATTGAAGAAATGTCTGTTCAGATTCTGCGTTCATTTTTAAATTTCATTATTTGTCTTACTATTAGTGAGTTCTAAGGACAGTTTATAAGTTGTGGCTACGGACGTCTAACCTGACACATAGTTTGCAGAAAAGCCAATTCATTGTGTTTCTCTTGCTGTGTAGAAGCTATTTCACGGGCTGTAGTCCCCAAACGGAAATTTTGGTCAGTTGTTCAACCACCACTGTTGAGGCAAATATCTAGGAGT